AGGACCTTTTCTTTATGAAAAACCCTGAGAATGGCTCCAATCCAACTATGAGCCTTCATTTACCATTATTGTGTATGGGTAATTCACTGTGTGCTTGTCACCAAGGTTATGAGCAACGAGCACCCCCATCACAGAGGTTTGGTATTGAAGACCATTCAGATTATCTCTGATCAGCTCCACTGGATCTCAAAATTCTTGCGCATAATCCCCAGGTGTTATAAAGCCACACGTTTGGCTTTCCCCACCAGATCACTCATTGCACATGATGAAGCTACTAATTGACTGAGAATCGAATGGCCTATAAGCCTGCCAATGCTAGAACCATGGATAGCATTGGCAATCACCAATCAACAATGGTCAGAGGTGTTAGATCTCTAGCAGCCCAAAATCCTGGTCCTTTTTACCATTTGCCAAATCGCCTGTATTCCGCCCTCCCCTCTTACTTTCCCTTAAATTTTTATTTTAATAAAGTATGGAGTTTAAATAATTTATGGTGTAGTTGGTATTCACATCTGTCTAACACACAGGAGGTTTTCAGTTCAAATCTGAATAAAAACAATTTTACTTCTTTTCTTTAGCTCACAAACTTTTTGTCCTGGAACCTTGCATCTTTCATTTAACACGCTTATTAATAAAACATTGATAAAATTTTGCACAGTTACTAAGGTCAGATGATAATACAATATTACACCATAGTTTTTAATTTTCACAGTAAAAAAAAATAAAATAAATGTAAAGAGTGAAGGTTTTATACAATTTATTGGTAATTGGCATATTGACAGCTGGACAATTAAATATTCAGTTGATTTAATAGCTCAAATAGGTTTGCCAATTTGTCATTGATCATCCTGCTAAACATTTAATTAATTGTTTTGCTTAAAGATGTAGGATGGCAGAATTTCAGAAATATAAGACTAAAAAGCCCAGAGTAGCCTTTTGTTCTCAAAATTATCTAACCCTAAGTTAATACACAAATGTAAGTTTACTGGCTGTATTTGTATTGAATTAGTAGTAATACTTATGTATCTAAAAAGATCAAGTATTTATGGTGTAGTTGTTTATCACAACTGTCAAACCACAAAACTCTTTTGTGCATTAGCCTCACTTTTGAATTTCAAAAAGTGACCTGGTAAAAGTTTCATGAAAGTAACATGTTAAATTTGTGTCTTCTTCCATAAAAAGAGCAGTACTTGTTTCCTTTCCACTGCTTCAGTTACAAACGAGAGCCCTTCCTGACTGAGCATAGCTCATCAAATCGTTAGCCCATAATAAATAAATATTAATATCAAACCCCTACCCCACCATTTGATTAATTAACTGGTAAAGGTGCATCCACTGAGTTAAGTGATAAACTGTCAATGATGCTGGCTATGTAACCTACTGACTCAGCCACCAACTCTGCAATTGACATAATGCAGGTTTGTTCAAATGGTATTGGATTTTAGGTGCAGAATATGCTCACTTGGTGTTTATTTCACCAAAATCTGACAATGGGTTGTTGCCATGATTTTAATAAAATTACCTAAACTTCAAAAGCTTAGGAAATTAGGGTTTTTAAAGTTTTATTAAGCCAGCCTGGTATAAGGAAAAAAACCTCCCCCTCAATCTTGGATCATTCAGTGTTTAGCTGTATCAAGGTTTAATGGAAATTCAATAATAAGCTTGGAATAGCTTAGACTAGTCCAAAAAAGGAAATATGGGAAGTTAGCCTATCAAAGCTCATAAAAATCGCTTCATTCAGGCTGAAAGATAAATGGGGGATTCTTTTGGGGAATGATGTAACTGTTGGGTAACAACTTAATATATTCTAGCCAATCCTCTTTCATGAAAAATATTTCACCTTGGGGACCCCAACCATGCCTATAAAAGGGGGTGGTCCCCATGTAGGTGCTGGAATGGGACTTGTAGGGGCTGGGGGAGATCCCTCCTATGGACGCCCCATAGTCTGCCACAAAGTCAGAGTAATCTGACTGCTAAACTTCATGTTAATTGCCCTTGAGGTATTTGAACTAGTGTTACCCTGATTGGAGGTTCCACCGAGAATTGGCCAGGGTCTTTTAGCCAATTTCCTCGTTATTAATATTAAGAACAATATCACTATTGCAGACTAGTAAATGTCCAACATTTCTCCTTCTCAGCTGATTTGAGCCCACATCATTCTTATCTTGTAGCTGAGAGGGCAAATGTCCAACAAATATAATTGTGGGGGACATGATACCAATATAGCATCTAAGCCACAGGTGGGTCAGATGGCTGCTCTAGCAGAATCTGTGATCCCACCAATTGTAAAGTCCTTAGTTAAGCTAAGAAGCTGGTGGCCACCCCCACAAAAACTTCTGTCTTTGTCCAGGTCCTCCAGTACTAGAAAAAAGCTTACTTCAGGCCTGCTGGAACCCTCTGCTACTGTAGGGATACCTGCTGCCAATTCTCCTATTCAAGGACGTGATCACCCCAAGCTTAATAGTGTTAGTCAGGTTCAATCAGATGGTATTCCGTCAGGAGCTAAAATTTTAGTGATTATTCCTGACATAATTCAATTGCCTCAATTGAACTTATTGTCAGATTGTAATCCCAATTAAGTTACAGTTGCTTCAGGATTTGAATTGGATTTTTCAGATCACCAAACTCTATTGACAAAAAGCATTGGCACTAATCCCTAAGTATGCTGAGGCTCCCCAGTAGCACAACGCCATATCTCATTCTTTCCCCATGAAGTATATTCCAGTACAGAAAGAATTTCTCACCCATAGAGGCACCTCCACCCAGGATGTCAGGAGAGTGTCTGTAATGCTCCCATTACAGAGAGGTGGTGTGAGATGCACAACCACACCTCCAGGGAACCAGTTGTTAGGATTATTGTAAACAGGGCACTAGGGAGGATGCCGGAGCTAAAGTAACCTAGGGCAATGGTGTACAACGCGGTATATAGTAGGTAATAAATAAACAGCAACACTTAGGTGACCCCACAGAGTGGCCCTAGCCGAGCGAGGATCTGTGCTGGAGTGTTTAGGTGCCTTGATATGAAGGGGACCAGGTGGGCCCAACGGTGCACCAGATCTAGTAAAATTTTTTGTAAAAATAAAATGCCCACCGTTGTTAGAGACCACAAGAGGAGGTCTGCACACAGGTTTGCCCAAGTAACTATATAAAAACGCACATAATGGTGACTTTTATAAAGGAAGACGATCAACGAGAAAAGTTGGTCCAAAAAACCATTTTAAGCAATGGGTGGTAAGTTAAAGATTGAGGAAAATGATGCCAAGCCTAAGTGAACCAATTGCACTTTACCATTATCCAGGGTACTTCTCAAGGTTGACCAAACTCGAGTTATTGATTTCAGGCTGAGCCATCCTGATTTTGCAATGTTAGAAAATTGAACGGGTTTTGAACCCCCAATCTCTGAGCAAATTCTGAACTGTTACCATTAAGAATATATCAAGTGCGTTTAACGCCCTTGCCATAATGCAGGTCCGAGCATCATACACATCCCCTAGACTAAGCTGGGCATATCTGTCATGAACCCAGCGTTGGTCCAGGGTATGTTTGAGGTCAGGAAGGCCTGCTAACTTAACCTTTTTGGCCTCCTGACGACCAGCTTTATCCTTACAGTTGGTGCTTTTAATCATGGCTCAAGCCATGGTACAGGATGTGTCATAGTGGGAAATGATGCAGTTCCTATATGTGACAACAACTCAATAAGATTTTAAAGACATATAACCTCAGACTACAGCCACTTGGCGCGCTAGAAAGTTCTTTAGTGGGGCAGTAAAATAGTGTGTTGACACCCAGATTCTGAAAAAATCTGGTGATAATCTTTAAATGATTGCACATCTGCACTGAGTAAGCCCTCAAGTGGATGAAGCTGACAGTGGACCACCACGCAGTGGAAGCAGCAGTCCAGGAGGACCTTAAACCCTCTGATTCCAAGGATTGTCTGGTTACATGCATTGACCTTTTTGATGTAATGGAGTTCAATAAAGCGGAATTCCCACCATTATAGAACCCTTAGTTAAAATCTTGGTTCTCTCATTAGTAGAACTGACAAGATGTTAGAGTGCTCCAACGCTGCAATTGAGCTCTACTGGGTGTGTCATGCTCTTTCCGCTGAAGTTACTTTCAAGTGGTATAACACCACCTTTTTACCCGAGGAGGCGCTACCATGGATCATGGTTGGGTTTCAGGCTACTGAAACCTTACACTGGTCATACACGTGCATCCCTCCTTTCATGGTCTCTGACTTACTGCAAGTGGGTTGGACAAAAGAAAAAGCTGTTGAATGGGCCCTTCTGGGAGTTGTCTCTGGAAGTTGCAATTAGCTGGAGCGCTAATGGTTTTATTCTAGTTGAAATGAAGTACTGGCTCTGGGCTAACATTCCTATCACTTCCAGGACTGCACAAGTTTGAGGGTGACAAAAACATTTATGAAACCCTACATGGCCACTCCTTCTTGCTGGCCAAATGGAAGATATGGCGAGACCACTCCCCCTGGCCGCTGCAGCAAATTTAGATGTAATGGGGTTCACCTCTAAGGCTGCTCATGTATGGATCAAGCATGAAATTCCACCTCAGTCAGCGGCAGCCATGCTGGGTTTTGACTCCCAAACTCATAGGGATTGACTTAAAACGGGCATTCATGTTAAAACAAATTTTGGGCTGGAAACAGTCATTTTCTGAGTCCTCTCTTTCTACCCCTATGCTGTGGAAGGTTTTGCCCTGGCTGAAGCATTTCAATTGAGTGAGGCAGAAATTTATGTGGAAGCATCACACCTGTTTACCAACACCAATAGGAACAGTGTTATGGTGCATGGTTGGTGTCAGTGGAGTGCTAATTCACTTGATAAAAACTTCCAATATATGCATCCAGAATGTGGTCTTGAGGCCTCATTAATCTGAAATCAATTTGGCTTCTCTCCTGAAGATGCTTTGAGATGGTAAGCCCTCAAAATTGGTGTCGCTATGGCCTGCACCATTTATAAAGGAGGCATTCATCTGCATCAAGTACATGAGTTCTTGCCCCATGAATTTTGGCCTTGATGAGGCCATCATCTAGATCTTAATAGGGAAGACTCCCGCGGAAGCCCCAACACCCTGTATTAATAAAAATTATAGTTCACAGTGGCTGCTTTTACATTAATGAATTGTAAAATTGCGCTAGGTCAATATTGATTTTATTCATTTATTTATAGTTGATAGGTTTTCTGACTGCCAGGCCCCCAAATCTTATTTTCAGGATGAAATCCGCATCCACCTCTAATTTGTTGGGTAGGTGTGGTCTGATCTGATCTGATTATCACTATTTACCAGGAGCTCAACTGCATACTGACTGGCAGCAATTTTTACCATCATGGGGTCCCAGAACGTGAGTACATTAATATTTTGATCCCTGATAAACTCAAACATAAGTACCATATGGAAGTGGGCATCCATTACAAGGACTCCTATCTGCATACTGAACTCACTCACTATGCAGATTAAACCGCAAAATAGGTGACCTTTTATAATTAACTGATGTACTGCATCCACAAATGGGTTCACAAAGAAATATGTACTGGCCTATT